CACGAGGCCATTCTCCTGGCAGTCTGCTCTCACCCTGGGGCTTGCTGCCGCCCCTGGCACCGTGCCCAGGGCCCTGCCCTGCCCTCAGCCTGGTGGGTGCTGTGGTCCTGGCTGTGGTGCTGCTGTCTCTGCCAGCTGGGGCCAGGGAGGCGGCTGACAGACAGAACCCACAGAGGAAGCTGGGGCTGGGTGTGGGTCCCACTCACCCCAGCACATGCCGGATGTGAGCGAGTGCGGGTCCAGCCTGAGTCAGCTGGCCGTACCCTGAAGTGTCAGCTCTTTGTAGGCAGATGTGGCAGACAGCAGGGCTATGCAGGTCAGGGACACAGCCAGGCGGATCTGCTAAGAAGGGCAAGAATCACAAATGCCAAGAAGAGGCCAATGAGAGCTGCCCACATGGCACAAAGGCTACTGGGACCAGCCATGGAGTAAAGGCTGTGCCTGAACTCAGCGAGATCAGAGTGTGAACACCAGGCGAGGAAAGAGAGAACTCACCCAGACACACATCTGTGATGTGATAACCCACACATCTGTGATAACACACACCTGTGATGACTCACATGTGATAACAGGTGTGACAACACACATGTGCTAACACCTCTGTGATAACAACACATCTGTGATAAATAGCACACACTTCTGTGATGACACACACAAACACCTGTTGTGACCCATGCAGGCAAAAGAAACTGGGTAGGCATCTCTAGGAGTCCCAGCACCTCTCGATTCCTCAACCACTCGGGCTCCTGGGGTAGGCCCTCAGGGCACTGCAGGCCACACAGAGTGCCACATATCATGTCGTGGTCTGTCATTCCCTCACAGGGGAGGTGAGCTGCTCAGTGCCCACCTCCCCACAGCCCTACACCACAGGTACCCATGCACCCCCTGAGCTATCGGGGATGGTATGTGGCCAGAGCCACCTTTGCGGCAGTGGGTGTTGGGGTGTGGAGATTCCACCCACAATCCAGCTCCATCCTTTGACATGCCACGTGGGATGAGGAGGTTCTTGTGGGCTGTGAAACCAGAGCTGCAGTGTCCTGGGTAAGATTCCACTGGACGCTGCATCCCATAAAAGGGGTAGACAGTTTCAGCTGCCCCATCCATAACCCATTCAGCTTGTGTCCTGGGAAAGCAGCGGAGGATGGCCCAAGCACTTAGGCCCTATACCCAAGTGGGAGACTCAGACTAGGCACCTGGCTTCAGCCTGGCCCAGCCCTGGCCTTGCAGCCCTCTAGGGAGTGAAGTGGCGGGTGGAAGATTGTCTCTAACTCTTTCAAATCAGTCAATCTCAGGAATGCTGACGGGCAGCTACATGGCGTGGAACAGGCACACATTTCCTGTGTTTCAGAGGAAACCCCATGATTAGCGCCAGCTGCCGGGGTGTGGGGAGCCAACAAGGGGGGCTGCCGGCAGGGCCCACATCCCAGGCTGCAGCGGCAAGCAGTGGAACAAGCCGTCCCCAAGGGGCGCAGTCCTCCCTCGTGCCAAAGCCACGGGGTCAGGAGGAAGCCTGGACCTGCCTCAGCTATTTACGATGCTGGCTGCTGCGTTTCCTGAAGTGACCTGAGGCTCACAGGGGCGGAGCAGGAGGAGGGCAGCTCTGGCTGGGCTGTCTACAGTGCCCAAGGCCAGCACAGGGGTCCTGAGGCCTGGACCCCCGCCTCAGCTGTGCACTTCCACCCAGCAGGGGACCTGGGCTTCTCAGGGAGTGGACAAGCTGCCTGTGGCGCTCCCGGCTTCACAGAAAGTCCCAGAATTAAGTCGGGCAACAAGGAGCCCTTTGTGGCACTGCACGTGGCAGGACTCCCTGAGGAAAATTGCCCACCAAGAGCCCCATTGTGAGACCTGGGGGTCAGGAGTGGGGGAGGGGCACACTGCCCGATGATGACATCATAGGGACAGTGCAGTGTCATCCCCCACCACCAGGCCGCCCTGTGATGTCACCGAGGGCCTAGGCCGCTCTCCTCTTCCAAGGTCACACCACTCCCCCGCAATCCTGTTCCCGGGCAGCCATGGCTTCTACAGAGCTTGCGCTACAGCAAGACCTCGAGTCCGCTACACTGGCCCCAGCTTTGCTTTCCCTGCTTAGGTCATGGCCAGCCCATGCATCCCGGGACTCTAACCCGCCAGGCTGGGCTGGGCTAGGCAGCCCCCGGTTCCCAATACCACAGAGCTGACCAGCATCAAGGGCAACCAGCGGGCTCAGCACCGGCCTGCAGGGTGGAGTGCAGAGCACAGGAACAGTTCAGGGACCTCAGGAAAGGAAGGAGACCCAGGCCTGTGCCCCCCAACATCACCAGCCCAGGAGGCTCCCCTGCCCACACGGCTAAAGAGTTTAGGGGACACTCAGGCCACAGCCTCTGTCCTGGTTCACCCTGGATGTAAGGGACACCAGGTCAAAGACAGCCCCTCCCCACAGAGGGGTCTGGAGTGATGGGTTTGGGGTGATAGGTGGGGGTCTGACAGGCGGAAGGTCTGGAGTGATGGTGTGGAGGTGACAGACGGGGTTCTGAGTAGCAGAGGGGTCTGGAGTGATAGGTTTGGGATGATAGGCGGGGGTCTGACAGGTGGGGGTCTGGAGTGACGATTGAGAGGTGAAGTATTTGGGAGGGCACCCATCCCTTTCCACTGCCTGACTATACCCAGGACATGCCCAGGTGTGCATAGGAGGTGAGGAAGAGGGGGCTGTCCCAGGCCCCTCCCCCTGCAGGCCCAGGGCTCAGGACTGGATGAGGAAGAAGAGAGAGAACCCAGCTGGGTCGGCAGTTCTGCCAGAGCACCTGCTGTTCCTGGTAGGAGATGAGAGCCTCACCCCTCTGAATCATGCACAACAAGGCCCGGCCACAGGCCCCTGAGTGGCCAACTCTGACTCTGCATCATAGAGCCGGCTTGAGGCGGGGCAGCTACACAGCAAGAACAAGTAACTCACGCTCCTTGGTGGGCATGCAGGGTTTGAAAGAGGCATGGAGGGCCCGGCGCGGTGGCGCAAGTGGTTAAGGTCCTCGCCTTGCACGCCCGGGATCCCATATGGTCGCCGGTTCTATCCCGGCAGCCCTGCTTCCCTTCCAGCTCCCTGCCTGTGGCCTGGGAAAGCAGTTGAGGACGGCCCGAAGCTTTGGGACCCTGCACCCGCGTGGGAGATCTGGAAGAGGCTCCTGGCTTCAGATCGGCATAGCATCGGCCATTGCGCTCACTTGGGGAGTGAATCATCGGACGGAAGATCTTCTCTGTCTCTCCTCTCTGTATATCTGCCTTTCCAATAAAAATAAAATAATAAAAATAAATCTTAAAAAAAAAAAAAAGAAAGAGGCATGGAGGGACAGACTCAGACCTCGGTCTGAATCCTCCTTCAGGCTCTGGGACCCGGGGACTTGGGGGTCCTCTGCTGCCCTGCCGGGGGGCAATTAGCTGGGCCTGAGTGAAGCAGCCAAGAATGAACTGGAGCTGGGACACTGCACCACAGCCTCTGCTCCTGAAAGTCAGAACAAATGTGTGGACAGGGAACAAACACTTGCAAATCCAGCAACTAGACAAGCAAACATCCCAAGAAGAAAGAAAACACTCACCTCACCAGGAAGGTGTGTGATGGCCACCAGCATGTCACAGACTGCTTGTCTTGATCCTTATGGGAGAGGGAAAGTTGCAGCCGACACCTCCACCCACCTGCAGCCCAACACAGGATGGGCATGGGCCCACTGGGAATCACCTTCAACACCGGCACCCATGTGGGCACCAGTTAGTGTCCCAACTGCTCCACTTTCCATCCAGCTCCCTACTTGTGGCCTGGGAAGCAGCAGAGGACGGCCCAAGGCCCTGGGACTCTGTACCTTCCATCCAGCTCCTTGTTTGTACCTGGGAGAGCAGCAAAGGACAGCCCAAGGCCTTTATGTGGCACCCTGATGAAGACTGGGAAGAAGCTCCTGGCTCCTGGTGTTGGCCCGGCCCAGTCCTGGGTGTTTCAGCCATTTGGGGAGTAAATCAGTGGGCATAAGATCTCTTGTCTTGCCTTCTAACTCTGGCTTTCCAATAAAAATAAAATATCACACACACACACAACCAAAGCTACAACTCAAGTGAGACCCTCTGAGCAGCGGCCCCTACAGCCAGTTCAAAGACCCCATTCTCCACGCCTGGTTCCTGCATTGCTTGCTCTGGCCAGCAGGTGTGGACGCTAACCAAGGCCCTAAGGGGGGGAGGCACGGGCCCCCTAGGAGGAGGAGGGCAGAGGCACAACCGGCTACACTGTCTCTGTAAAGCCAAGCTGGGCACAGCTGCAGACAACGCATGGCGCTGCTTCTCCCAGGGCGGCGGCACAGGCCTCGCCTCCGGATTTAGCTGCGCCCCAGCTCTCCGGCTCTTCAGCCTACGGGACTTGAGCCAGCAGCGGCTCCTCCTCCCAGCCAGGAGCCAAGGGCAGCTGCAACCACCCAGCAGCGGCCTTGCCCAGGCCAGGGGTGCCTGGCCTGAGACGCCTTACGGGCAGGAGTCCCCCAAGCGGCCCGGGTCACCCCCCAGGCGAGTACGCAGGGACAGGAGCGCCCGCACCGTGGTCACTCTGGTGGACCCCGACAAACCCAGATGGAAGCCCAGTTCATGTCTGGCGGAATCAGCGGGGCCTCGCCGGCGGGGCCTCCTGCTGGGGCGCGCGGGCCTCACCGGTCTGCGCGGAAGCCTGCACGTCCGTGCCGAGCGCCCAGTCTGTCCCCCGGGACCTCGGGTCCGCCCGGCACAGGCCGGTTGAGCAGAGCATCCGCCCGCGCCCGCGAGCCGGGACAGGAGCTGGGCGGCCGGCCCCGCGCCCCGGCCCCGCCCCCGGTCGCCTCCGCCCCGCGCCGCCCGCGCGCTCGCCCGCCCGCCCGCCCGCCCGGGAGCCGCCGCCGCCGCCGCCGGGATGTGACCTTCGGGGCAGCCGGACGGGATGACCGCAGCCGCCGCCCCGCGGCGCCCCCGGATCCCCGCGGCCTCCCCGGCGCTCTGACCGTGCGCGCTCCCGCCTCGCCATGCCGCCGCCGCCGGGGCCCCCCGCCGCCCTGGGCGCCGCGCTGCTGCTGCTGCTGCTGGCCTCGGAGTCGGCGCCCGGTGAGTGCGGGCCGTACCCCGCCCCTCGCCCCGCAGCCTCGGCGCGCGTCCGTCGCCCCGCAGCGCGTCTGTCGTCCGCAGCCTGACCGCGCGCCCCTCTCCCTGCAGCCTGGCCGCGCGTCCTCGCCCCGCAGCCTGACCGCGCGCCTCTCTCCCCGCAGCCGTGCTGCTGAGCGCGCGTGAGGCCGCGCAGGTCCTGCGGCCCAGGCAGCGCCGCGCCTACCAGGTCTTCGAGGAGGCCAAGCAGGGCCACTTGGAGCGCGAGTGCGTGGAGGAGCTGTGCAGCCGAGAGGAGGCGCGGGAGGTGTTCGAGAACGACCCCGAGACGGTGAGTGCGGCGCCCGGCCTCCGCCCTGCGCGGGGGCTGCCTTCCGAGGCCTCCCAGCGAGGGGGCGGGCAGCCCCTTCTCGGAGCGCCCGGGGAGGGGGCGGTTAAACCTAGCGGTCCCTGCCTGTCCCCTTGCGAGGGCCGATTGGACGCAGGTGTGGTCGGGCGCACGGGTGCCTGGGTAGGCGGTGTCCCTGAGGAGAATCTGGCTCCACTCTCCCACCTGCAGGAGCCCAGCCACAGGGACCCTGCTGCCAGGTGCTGTGTGTGTGACAGCCATGTGCACATAGGGGGCGGGGTGTGTGTGGAGTGACAGCTGTGTGCACAGGGGGGTGTATTCGCGAGTGGCAGCATGTGCCCAGGAGGGAAGTGTCAGAAGGTGTGGGGTCTGCTGGACCCCTGGGAGGGGCCTGGCATCTGAGAGGAGGGGGTCAGCAGCATCTCATGGCCCTGCCCTGGCACAGCACGAGGCGGCACCAGCCCCAGTGGCTACTTGATCCTGGCCTTTCCTGGTGCGTGGGCCCAGCAGAGGCCTCTCCAGATACTCACGGCTTCCTAGGATCCAGGCCCCCGCAGGTCCCAGGCCGGGCACCTCCAGGCTGTGCACATCCAGGGAGGTATGTGGTGTGTGGGGGGGGATTGCTCCTGGAGTCCAGCGCTGCCCTGCAGGCCAGGTAGCCAGCTCCTGGAGTCCCTGGCTGGGCTGAGGCAGCAGAGAGGACACCGGAGGCTATAGCGACCTCTGCAGGCGAGGAAACCTACCTTCTCCCTGCCCTGTCAGGAACCCATGGCCGTGGGGGTGTGAGGGGTGTGTGTTAGGGGCGCGTGAGGTGCATGGGTATGATGTGTGTGTGAGATACTTGTGTGCGGTGTGTGTGATATGTATGAAGGCTGTGTGTGATATATGTGATGTGTGTGGGGTGTGTATGTGGTGTTTGTGAAGAGTGTGAGATGTGATTGTAGTATATGTGTGAGGTGTGTGGTGTGTGGTATGTGTGTGAGCTGTGTGCAGTGTGTCTGAGGTGTGGTATGTGTGTGGTGATGTGTGGTGTGTGTGTGTGTGTGTGTGTTAGGGGTGTGTGATGTATTTGAGATATGGGGGGTGTGTGAGATGTGTGGCATATGTGGTGACGTGTGAGGTGTGTGCAGTGTGTCTGAGGTGTGGTATGTGTGTGGTGATGTATGGTGTGTGGGGGTGTGTGTGTGTGTGATCCCTGCAGAGGCTGGCATCCCTGTGCATGCTGGGACACAGCCCCTTGGCCCACAGCTGCCTGGCTCTGGGCCTTTGCCTGTAGCCAGCAGGGCACTCGTGCTTGTCTGCTCCTCCCCCTCTCCTAGCAGGTGGAGATCAGCCTCCTGCTTGGGCTCAGCCCAGCTGTGTGGGCCGGGCAGCCCCTCCCTGAATTCCTCTGGCCTAACCCTCCTCCTCTTCACTCCCTCCCAAACCAGCTCTAATCTCCCAGCTTCCTGAGTCTCCTCTCGGGCTGGGGGGTGGCGGCCTCCTTATCTCCCCTGGCCCCAGGTCTCTGCTCCTTCCTGGCGCCTCCTCCAGTTAGTTCCCTGGCTCTGGGCCCTGGGAGCCCAGAGCCACATCCTTCCAGCCTGACAGGATCTGGGCAGTCACCTCTGCTTCCAGAAGGATACTGGGGGAGTGACCGTGGGTGCCTGCCCATGCCTTTTGATCCCAGTCCGGTGCACAGCAAGGGCCTTGGAGGCCTGGAGAGGCCTGGTCTCTGCACACACCCCCACAGCTCCCTGCGCCAGCCACCTGCTCCTCGACTCCCTCCCAGCTACTCCTGGGTAGATGGCCTCCCACCTGACCCACGCTCCCTTTCTGCCCGCTCAGACCTGCCCCATGCCTGGCCCTGGACCTGGGGCTACGCCAGAGTCCAGCCCAGCCGAGAACCTGGCTGCAGAAGAAGGGCTGGGGCTTGCTGGTGACAGGCATCTCTGGCGAACTCCGGGAGCCATGGATGAGGCATGGGGAGGTAGGAGGGCCACCCAATGACCCTGTAGCGCCCCTGGTTCCGAGGCCCAGCACAGACCATGACCCTTGACCCCAGTCACAAGGTAACTACATAACACCAGAGCCTGGTGCTTGGGCATGATGATACCCATGTGCCAGGGGCTATGTAGGCCTCAGAGGGGATTAGGGTCTGCTGGGCCTTCTGGGGATCCATCCACCCATTCATCCACCCATCTACCCCCCATCCAAGCACCCTCTCATCCATTTACCTGTTGACACATCCGTCTACCCATCCATCCATCCAATTATCTATCCAACTTTCCATCCCTCCAGCCATTCCTCCAACCATCCATCCAACTAACCATCCATCCATCCACCCATTCATCCACCATCCACTCTCCCATCCACCCAGCCATCTAAGTATCCAGCCATCCACCCATGCATTCACTCACCCACAGGGTGACAAGTGGGTATTATCCTTTTTTTTAAGACCCACTTCTTGTCATGAGCTGCTCAACCAATGCAGTGATAAACTCCTGGGGGAAGCAGCTGTAAGGTGACAGAAAGCCTTGTTCCAGAGCAGAGCTTCATGCTACTGCCCTCTACACCACATAGCCCATCCCCTGTCTTGGACCATGGTTCCTGAACTGTAGCAACTCCTGGGGACCTGACTGTCAAGGGAGTCAGCTGGTGCCCCGGCATCCATCTGTAGGGTTCACCCCCACCTCCATCTGTAGGACTCAGGAGTGAATTGTGAAGTGCTGAGTCGTGACTGTGATCCATCTATAGGCTCAGCAGAGTCATGTGACTGTAGTGCTGGTGCTGGTCAGTCATGCCCATGGTCTGGCCTCAGCAGCCTGTTTAGGTCTGGGCTGTGAGAGCAGCTGACCCTGCTGGAGACTGGTCTGCATTTCTGGCAGAGGCCCTGGCATCTGGGCTATGACAGGAGTATCCTGACCCCTGGCTCAGAGTGGACAGGACGGTCTACATTAACACTCAGAGCCTCACCCAGCCAGTTTGTAGTGTGAATGCCAGCCCATGTGACAGTGAATGGCCTGGTGTCCCTAGTTGACATGTGTGCACCCACACACACACACACATATACACAAGGAGGGGCCTCTCCCAGTGGCTATGAATCCCACGGGCTTTTTGGGTTCAACCCTCCTTCCTGGATTTCCGGGTAGCCAGGGCTGCAACAGCTGCCAGCATTGTCCTCCTGGGCCATTGACCATCTCCTCTTTCTCTCTGTAGGATTATTTCTACCCCCGATACCTGGGTAAGTGCTGGCCTATCAGCGGGGTGGGTCAGAAGCCAGTGGTGGCCTTTCTTCCATGGCCTCCAACACCAGGGTCACCTGGGGCAGAAATGTGTGGGTGCTGAAGTGCATGTCTTGTACTCTGGGTGCCCAGTGGATGCTGACACCTCTGTCTTTTGCAGACTGCATCAACAAGCATGGGTCCCCGTATACCAAGAGCCCAGACTTCGTCACATGTGTTCAAAGTAAGCCCTGCTTTCACATGTCTCCATAAGCCCAGGATGGAATCCACATGGGGTTGTGTGTCCAATCCTCACCCAGGCCTACCTTCAGTCCCATGCACACAGCCTGTGCCTCCTGCAACCATGTTCCCATGGTGCCCAGGGTACCATGTGTTTGGGGGCTTCCAGGCCTTGATCACCAACACCATGCATGGACATGGACAGCATGCACAATTCCAAGCGTTTCTATTGCCAGCTGTTCCCTAACCTAGTTGTCCACTTTTACCCCAAGAGGCCCCAGGAAGGCTCTTGGCAGCGACCTTGCACCTCCATTATAGGTTGAATTTCTGGTCTTGCTTCTCCTTAGGGCCTCAGGGTCCCAGTTGGGGTTCTCAGGGGGTGAGGTGAGCCCAGCGTGGCAGGTCTCAGCTTCCGATTGACTTGCTGCCATGGCTGCCTGTTTGCTCCTGGTGCTCTGGCCCGGGAGGCACAAGCCATGGGGAGCTGGGAAGCAGCAGGGCTAGTGCTGTGGACACACAGAACCCACTCCCTCCTTTCCTTCCCACTCACGGCATAGCCGCTGGCCCTGGCCACCACACCAGGACCTTGGGGTTCCCAGCGAGGGTACCCCACAGGCGGTGGACCCAGAAACGTCCCCAGACAAGTGTCACTCTGTCCTCCCTCTCAGCTCACACACATGGTTCTGTGGGACAGAACCCATCCCAACCCAGCTCCATGAGCCCCCTGCCCTGGGCCAGGCCCAGCACACTTTGGCTTCTGTCAGGATGGCCTGAGCCTGACATCCAGCTGGTCAAGAGGGGGTCTGGGAGGCACTGGACTTCTCCATCAGCCAATCCACTGAGCTATTCATGAATCCAACTCTAGTCCACAGATGTCTCTAACCACCAGTTAAACACTCTGCCATCTAGACTTCAGTTTACCCACTAGTTAACGCTGGTCTGCCCACTTCAATGCTAGTCTAACCACTAGGTCATGCTGGTTACCTATGAGTCTAGAGACTGCTTTGTGCACTTGGTGAGTCCTGAGTTGGCTCTGTCCCTTGTGTCCAAAGCTCTGAGGGTGGACAGCAGGCACCCCCTGCAGCCTTCATGGCAGCCGGATGCTGCTTTGGGGAGCTGTGGTTCTGACAGCTGCTGGCAGTGGAGGATGGTGTGGAGCCTGGTGCCCAACCTCATTCCTGGGACCATGACACTGGACTCCATCTCTGTACACTCAGGGGTTAAAGGTGCTGATACTGGGGTGAGCCAGGAAGGGCCCCAAAGCGGCCATATGGTCCCAGTGACCTGCAGATGCTGAGTGGGCCTGAGCCAGACGGGTTGACCCGAAAGCCTTGGATGAGCTATAGGAGTCCAGCCCGAAATCAAGGCCCACCCATCACCCAGCCTTGTGGGAAAAGCTGTAGACTTGCTCCTGGGAGCTGTGTGGCTGCAGCTGGAGGGCTGCCAGTAGGGAAGGTGGAGTCCGCATCCAGCCCCTAGAACCTCCTTCCACCTGATGGGAAGCCCCACCTTCCTCATCCACAGCCCTACCCATCTAGCCCACAGTTCCTCCATCTTGGCTGTATGAATGCAGTGCCCCCCCGCACCCATCCAGTTCATCTGAAGTTTCATTGACTATAGAGCGGTACTCCTGGAGCCACCCCAGCTGCATTGCTGGTCATAGGGCAGCTCGGGCCTTACCACAGTTTCTCTGTCTCAGACCTGCCTGACCAGTGTACCCCAAACCCCTGCGAAAAAATGGGGACCCAAGCCTGCCAGGACCTCATGGGTACCTTCTTCTGCCTGTGCAGAGCTGGTTGGGGGGGCCGGCTGTGTGACTCAGGTGAGACCCCGTACCCTTTGTCCCCATCCTGCCTACAGAACCCTCCTCCCCTCCCCCCCCGTAGCGGGGGGGTCCCAGGACTGGAGTTGAGCCCCAACCCGGTGGGGGGCACCACTGACTCCACTGATCCTTTGGGTCTTCGTGGTCATTCAGGAAGTTCTGTCCTCCCTTCTCCCTGTTGGGCCCTGGGGTTCCTGGGGACCTTGCCAAGGGGCAGAGAGGGAAGGAGGGACATGGTCAGGGTTGGGTGGTGCCTGCGGACGCCTCACAGCTGCCCTGGGTGCAGATGTGGACGAATGCAGTCAGAACAATGGCGGCTGCAGCCAGGTTTGCCACAACCAGCCCGGGAGCTTCCACTGTGCCTGCCACAGTGGCTTCGCACTGGGCTCGGACGGAAGCACCTGCCGAGGTAAGCCTCACTCTGCGCCCTCCCCCCAGCTCTGTGGAGTCTCTGCGCCCGCACGGGTGGGGGCTGGGGGATTGGAGACTCGGTGCCCAGTGCTGTTGGGGCATAGGCCTTGGCCCCTGCCCAACCAGGCAGCTCTGGCCCATCCCCTCCCCGTACTGGGCAACTCTAGCACAGTCCCCGAGGTCCTGGTTCCACCCTGGCGGTTCTGGACCCCTCCCCAGCCTGAGCGGTCAGCTTTGGCTCTGGCCTCACACTCTCACCCACAGATGTGGATGAATGCGCAGACATGAGCACCTGTGGATCGGCGCAGTGCGAGAACCTGCCTGGCTCCTACTCCTGCATGTGCGACCCGGGCTACACCTACAACTCCCAGGAAAAGGCCTGTCTAGGTACACCTTGCCCTGCTCCGCAGCTGCTGCGACTGCTGCCTGCCAGCCATGTGCATAAGGGGCGGCCCCCTGGGTCCCAGAATGACAGACAGATGAAGTCTGGGACACGTCGGAACCCACGGCTGCATCTGCCACTGGCCACACATTGTGACACACAACACATCTGCATACATGTGCAGGCATGCACCCGCTCACATATCCACATGCACCCTGCACACATGTGCACATGCATGATGGGCATGATGGCACACATGTGCCTGCCTCAGCCCCCCATAGGCATGAAGGAACCCCTCCCCAGCTCCTGGGACCCTGGCTCCTCCCCAACATGAGACCTGTTAAGCCCCAAGCTATGGCTGCCAGTCTTATTTCCTGAAAGCTCAGGGAACCCAGGACGAGTGCCCAGGGAGAGGGTCTGCGACCATGCCTTTCTCACAGGCCGGGCACTGGAGCTCCTCCATCACCCGAGTCGCAGAAGGGGCCTGGGCAGCAGCAGGACCAGGGGTGTGTGTGGTGTAGGGGGCAGGAACATGGTTCCTGGGCTGCACGTCCCCCACACGCACCATCATGGAGACCTGACTTGTCTGGCACATGTGTGATTCCCCTCCCCATGTCTGGCCACAGATGTGGATGAGTGTCAGCAGGGCCGCTGTGAGCAGACCTGCGTCAATGCCCCTGGCAGCTACACCTGCCACTGTGATGGCCGTGGGGGCCTCAAGCTGTCCCCAGACATGGACGCCTGTGAGGTGAGCGAAGCAGGAGGAAGAGATGTGGGTCAGGGGTGGGCTCATGTAGACCCTCCTGACCCCCGACTCTGCCCAGGACATCCTGCCCTGCGTACCCTTCAGCCTGGCCCGTAGCGCCAAGTCCCTGTACTTGGGCCGCCTGTTCCATAGGACCCCTGTGGTCGGGCTCCGCCTCAAGCGGCTGCAGCGCGTGCGGTGAGTATTGGGGGGCCTGGACTTCAGCCAACCACACTCCCTCCTCACCCAGCCCCACCCATGCCCCCTGTTTGGGAGGCCCCTTCCCCCGGCAATGGTGCCAGCGGTGATCTCTCCAGTGATGAGCCTCAGCCCCTGCTTGCAGACTGGTGGCGCAGTTCGACTTCCGCACCTTCGACCCTGAGGGTGTCCTCTTCTTCGTGGGTGGTGACCCGGAGGGCACGTGGGCACTGCTGAACCTGCGCGCGGGGCGCCTGGAGCTGCAGCTGCACTGCCAGGGTCTAAGGCGTGTCACCAGTGGGGGCCCTGCAATCAACCATGGCCGCTGGCAGACGGTGAGCAAAGGAGCGTGGGCCTGGACTCTGTGAGCCTTGGGGAACACAGGAACATAAGAGTGCAGGGTCCTGGGAGCCAGGGACTTGCCAGCAGCTCATGTGGCCCCCAGCACCTAGCCCACAGGGGGCGAGACGCCCGAGGCCAGTGCCCAGGCAGGGGTGAGGAGACCCCATCCCATTGTTCCCACCTTCTCAGGTGTCCGTGGAGGAGCTGGCCCGCAGCCTCGTGGTGAAGGTGAATGATGAAGCAGTCATGAACATCGCAGTGCCCCGGGAGCTGTTCCACCCACGCCGAGGCCTCTACCACCTCAACCTTACCCTGGGAGGAGTCCCTCTGCCCAGCAGCCATCTCTTGCAGCCTGTGAGTGTCCCCTACTGCCACATTTGCTTTGGTAACCTCTGCCTGTGCCAGGCACGGAGGCAGAGGATGAGGGACTCCTGGAAGCCAGCAGCCAGGTGGGCCAGGTGTCAGCTAGGTGTCAAGTGGGCCAGATGCAGCCAGCTGGGCCAGGTGTCAGTAGGTGTCAAGTGGTTCATGTGCAGCCAGGTAGGCCAGGTGGGCCAGGTAGGCCAAGTCAGCCAGATGCAGCCAGGTGTCAGCTGGGCCAGGTCAGGTAGGTGTCAGGTGGCCCAGGTGTCAGCTGGGCCAGATGTAAGCAGATGGGCCAGGAATAACCAGGTGAGACAAGTGTAGCCAGATGCAGCCTGGTGTCAAATGGGTCAGGTGCAGCCAGGTGTCAGGTGGACCAGGTGAGCCTGGTGTCAGGTGGGCCAGGTGGGCCAGAAGGCCGTCTGTCTAGATGAGCAGGGTGAGTAATAAGCATGTCCGGCTGTAGTCACAGCAGACAGTGCCCAGGATTCTGGGGTATCTTCCGGGGTGAAGACCACATCAGGGGAGGAGGTTATGTCCCAGAGTCTTCCAGGTCATGTATGCCCTCATCCCCTTTCCCACAGTGATGAGGGCAGGGTGTCAGGTTGTGAGGGCTGTTCACAGGAAGCCCTAGCTATACCACCTGGCTGGCACACAGCATGGCAAGCATGGGCTCAGGAGAGAGGTGTGGAACAGGAGCTGCCTTGTGTAGGGAGAAGCAGAGGCCCGCCCACGTGTGAGTCATGTTCCTCCCCTAGGAGTTCCTGGGATCTCAGCGGATCTCAGCTCTGACCATCATGAATCTGAGCCAGGGGCACAGCCAGTGTGGTCTCTTGGGGGGACATGGCCAGTGTGGTCTCTTGGGAGGACATGGAGAACTGGCTAGCATGGTGTCCTGGGGACATGGCCAGCGTGGTCTCTTAGAGACATGCCCAGCATGGTCTCTTGGGACATGGCCAGTTTGTGTCCTGGAGACATGGCCAGGGTGGTCTCCTGGGGATTCAGCCAGCATGGTCTCCTGGGGGTACAGCCAGCATGGTCTCCTGGGGACTCAGCCAGCATGGTCTCCTGGGGGCACAGCCAGCAAGGTCTTGTGGGGACAGGATCAACATAGTGTCGTGGGGACATGGCCAGGGTGGTCTCCTGGGACACAGCCAGTGAGGTCTCGTGGGGGTGGGGACTCTCTTCAGATCAACCCCCGGCTGGACGGCTGCATGCGCGGCTGGAGCTGGCTGGACGAAGAGGAGGCCACCATCCAGGAGACAGTCAGTGGCAATGCCAAGATGCAATGCTTCTCCACTGTGGAGGATGGCTCCTTCTACCCCGGCAGCGGATACGCTTCCTTCAGCCTGGACTACAGTGAGCTTGGGCCAGGGGCGGGGCAGGTGCCAAGGGGAACAGGAGCTGGGGGCAGGTGCTCCCCAAAGCAGTGCGGGGCAAGTATGCTGGCAGCTCCCAATTCTTGACCCTGCCCCCTGCACCACCACGTGGCACACCCCTTTCCTGGCAGGGAGTGCACCTAAGGAAGGCAGCAGCTCTGATGCAACCTGGGCGGTGGAGGTGACAGCCCGCATCCGCCCTGCTGCGGACACTGGGGTGCTGCTTGCACTGCTTGGCACCGACCGCTCTGTGCCTCTCTCACTGGCCCTGGTGGACCACCATGCGGCCAGGAGGCTCAGGAAGCAGGTATGGTGCCCCCTTCCTGCTCTCACACTGCTCACAGAAGCCTGCCTGGGAGTGGGGGGAGTGGAGGACCCATGGGAGCACAGGCAGCTGCGACTACAACCCCTGAGCCGCTTGCACCTGTGGCCCTGACCCCTGACCCTGCAGCTCGTGGTCCTGGCTGTGGAACACATGCCGCTGGTGCTCGCAGAGATCCAGGCTTGCAACGGGCAGGAGCACGTGGTCAATGTGTCCCTCAGGGAGGGTGTGGCCACACTGGTGGTGGACAGCAGCGTAGGGCAGATCGAAGTAGACGCCACGCAGCTGAAGGAGAGGCTGAGCCTGCTGGAGAGGCACCTGGTGCACGGCCCCATGCTCACCCTGCTTGGGGGGCTACCAGGTAGGAACATAGCCCAGACCCAGGGAGTGGTCTGGGGAGGGAGTGGTTGCTGGGCCCGGGAACCCCACCCAGCTTGCCGGGGTTCCTGCAGTTGTGGACAGAGGTAGTGAGGGTCTGCCCCGACCCAGGGCTCCATCATGGCTTGTTGCCAAACAATACCCTGCACTGGTTGGAGGCATCCTTGTGGAACCCCCAAACTGGGACTGCTTTCCAAGGGACAGAAAGACAGTCACTCACATTGAGTGGTAGAAGGAAGTATAGAGAGGAGCCGGGCTACAGCGTCACTCTCAGCCTCCCCAGACTCAGGCAGGAAGGGTCCAGACAGACAGTAGGGACTGGGAAGTGGGGGTGCTGTATGCATGGCTCCTGCTTGGTCAGTGACGCTGTGATCTTCAGGGAATTTATAATGGTCTAATGAGCACAGGTCTGTGGTGGGGAGTGACCAGAACGCTCCCCACCCCCAGGGGTCCTTGACCCACCACAGCCTCTGCTCTGCTCACCCCTCTAGATGTGCCAGTAACGTCCACACCAGTTACAGCCTTCTACCGTGGCTGCATGACCCTGGAGGTCAACGGGGTGCCACTGGACCTGGACGAGGCTGCACACAAGCACAGCGACATCACCTCACACTCCTGTCCCCCCGTGGCTGCCACCTCCACGGCTGCCTCTGGACACGCATAGCCACTGCCTGCCCTGCTCCACATGTAGATAGTCAGGGGGTGGGGCAGGGCTGGCGTGACTCTTATTTTTATTACTGAACGCTTCTTCTTCTAAAGCGTGAAAATAAACTATCTCCACGCCTTTGTAGCCCGTGTTGCGGCTGCTGCTACCCCAAGCCCCAGGGGGGTGGTGGACACCCCCATGGTGTCCCCTGGAGTGCCACCACCCTGGGCTGGGTAGGCCACCCGTGTTTGCCTACCCTGGCCATGCCTCTAGTCCTGGCCTCGCCTGGCCCCTCAGCTTCCGAGCTACAGTTGCCCCTGTGGGCAGGATGGGGTCCTTATGTGCCCTTTGATGCTACTTTTCCTGTCTGGGACCAGATTGGACTGGCCCCTTGGGAGGAGGGCTACATGTGGGCAGGCCTGGACAGCCATGGGTCCCACCCCAGCTCAGCCACTGGCACAGAGCACAGAGCCCATCACCGCTGGTCAGTGAGCTCTCTGGGCCCAGCTCCCGGTCACCATGTGTGTATATAAAGTGGGCTGCAGCCATGCCTGACCATTGGAGGCCCCAGAGTTGAAGGGGCAAGCATGGCGTGGGAGTAGTGGCTTTGAGGCTAGCAGGTATCCAGTGGTGGAGGCAGAGGAGCCAGTGCCTACAGACCCCTTCTGTCAGATATTGAGCCACAGGGCCCCGCCCCGCTGCCCTGTGCTGCTGAGTCAGCATGGGTCCTTGGTGCAGTGCCCAGGTTCTGGGGCTGCTGTTGCTTGGATCAGCCAAGTCACCTCTATACCCCATGTGTGATATGGAACAGGCCAACTGCCACTGCCAGAGGAGAGGCACTGGCCTCAGCAAGTCCCAGAGTGCTATAGGTGCCTCCATGCACACGGAGGAATGGGGACCGAGACTGGTGCTGGTCATGGTGAACAGGGGTCAGGCAGTGCAAAGCAGACTCCAGACACATACACACACCCTCTCCCTGCCCCTGCCCCGCTACCGCCAAGAGACCATAGAAGGATGTGGCTGGTGGCAGCTTGCCCTGGGCCACAGTGCTCATGGCTAAGCCTGCCAGCTTCCCTACACTGGAAGGTGGTTCCAGAATGTTCTAGATGTTCCCCTGGCCTTGGGAGCCTCTTTCCTGCCAGTCCCATTCCCCGAGGTCGAGAGGCCAAGAGCAGTGGTATGCCAGGACTGCTGGGCAGGGCTCTGTCCCAGGGCTGAAGCAAGGCTGATGATTCTGAGAAAAAAATGGGCTTTGCAGTTTGAGGTTTCTGACGACACAGGACTCCAAGCAGGGTAAGGAAACTTGGACCAAGTGAATGGTCACTCCTAGGCTGTGGTGGGCAACCTCCCAGGTGCTCCATGCCCTAGACCCATGAGAGGGGGTTGGCCCCCAGCACACCCCAATCCCGTTCCAGCAGGCAGGCCCTGATCTGGTCTGGCCTGAAGTTACCTGTCTTTGAAGAGGTTGGAGGCCAGACAAGGAAGAACAAGGCCAGTGCTCACCCACTGCAGCCACCCTCCCCCAAGATGAATGAGGACCTGCAGGGCTGAAGCCCATGGACTCTCCATCCCCTGCTGAGTCACCTGCAGAAATCCCGGCTCTTGTGGCTCAGTTGGTCACCCAGGACACTGCGTCCTGAAGCCCAGACTAGACTCTCAGTCCCAAGGAGAACTGGCCCTGTAGTCACCCTTGTTGGAGTCTTTTTGTGCTGAGTTTTCGGGCAGCACCATAGGGGATGCCTGTTAATGCCACCACAGAGAGCTACTGAGCACCACTGGGAGTGACTGTGTGCCAGGAAGGCCCATGTGGGACCTCAGATGCCTAACAGATACCCTAAACACCATGAGGTCCCCAAGGCAGGGAAAGCCATGTTGGACTTTGAGCAAAACAAGTGACAGAAGTGATTGAGCTTGGACCTGGTCACCATGACAGATCACAGGAGAGATATACACCACAGGGACACACACCACAGAGACACACAACACAGGATACACAAAGCAGGGACACACACCACAGGACACACACCATAGGGACACACACCACAGGACACAGACCGCAGGACACAGACCACAGGACACACACCACAGGGACACACACCACAGGACACACACCCCAGGACACAGACCGCAGGACACAGACCACAGGACACACACCACAGGGACACACATCACAGGAACACACACCACAGGGACACACACCACAGAGACACACACCACAGGACACACACCACAGGGACACACACCACAGGACACACACCACAGGGACATACACCACAGAGACACAGACCACAGGACACACACCACCAGGACACACACCACAGGACACACACCACAGGGACACACATCACAGGAACACACATCACAGGGACACACACCGCAGGGACACAGACCGCAGGACACACACCACAGGACACACACCACAGGGACACACATCACAGGGACACATACCACAGGGACACACATCGCAGGACACACACCACAGGGACACACACCACAGGACACAGACCACAGGACACACACCACAGGGACACACACCACAGAGACACACACCACAGGACACACACCACAGGGACATACACCACAGAGACACACACCACAGGAAACACACCACAGGACACACACCATAGGGACACACACCACAGGACACATACCACCAGGACACAGACCACAGGGACACACACCATAGGGTCACACACCACAGGGACACACTCCCCAGGACTTAGACCACAGGACACACACCACAGGACACAGACCACAGGACACACACCATAGGGTCACACACCACAGAGACACACTCCCCAGGACTTAGACCACAGGACACACACCACAGGGACACACACCACAGGACACAAACCACAGGGACACACCACAGGATACAGACCGCAGGACACACACCACAGGACACAGACCACAGGGCACACACCATAGGGACACACACCACAGAGACACAGACCACAGGGACACACACCACAGGACACAGACCACAGGGACACAGACCGCAGGGACGCAGACCACAGAGACACACACCGCAGGGGCACACACCACAGGGACACACACCACAGGGACACACACCACAGAGAAACAGACCACAGGGACACACACCGCAGGGACACAGACCACAGGACACACACCACAGGGACACACATCACAGGGACACACACCGCAGGACACAGACCACAGGACACAGACCACAGGGACACACACCATAGGGACACACACACCAGGACACACACCACAGGGACACACCACAGGACACACACCATAGGGACACACACCACAGGACACAGACCACAGGACACACACCACAGGGACACACACCACAGGACACACACCACAGGGACACACACCACAGAGACATACCACAGGACACACACCACAGGACACAGACCGCAGGACACACACCACAGGACACACACCATAGGGACACACACCACAGGACACACACCACAGGACACACACCATAGGGACACACACCACAGGACACACACCACAGGACACACACCACAGGGACACACACCACAGGGACACACACCCCAGGAAACACACCACAGAGACACACACCACAGGGACACAAACCATAGGGACACAGACCACAGGACACACACCCCAGGAAACACACCACATGGACACACACCACAGGACACACACCACAAGGACACACACCACAGGGACACACACCCTGGCAAGCTTATATGTTGTGGTTTATGTACTGAAATCCAGACATGGTTCTCGTCCTAACAGAATTATTCATGGTTCCCTAATCTTAGCTGTGTAACCCACACATGTTCTTGCAACACAATGGATCTACTTCTGTGGCCATGAACGGAACTTAGCCACACTCAGGAGTAACAAGGGCCAGCTGGCCTCAAGCACCACAAAATGGGCAGTCCAGGCTGGGAGCCTTGGACATGGTGTCCGTCAGCAGTTCCCTTCCCTTGTTCAAGTTACTGGGACCAGTCAGAATAGGCAGATCCAGCCAAAACCAGTTAGGTCCAGCCAGAACCAGTCAGACCCTCTTTTTCCACTTTCCCACACGAGCCTTCAACCTGGAAACCAGCCAGTTCCTCAGGTTTTGTTCACACTGTTTGCTTCTGAGGTGACTCGGTGGTGGGAGCTGTGTGGGCGTCCTCTGCAAGGGCCTGGCCTGGGCTCCTCGGAAGTTGTCCTTGACCAGGGTCTAGAGGAAGTGGGAGGGTGCTGTGGGCAGTGAGAGGGAAGGGTGAGGGGCAACCAAGGTCAGAGTCCACTGAGGCTGCCTTGTGGGTCTGCTCTGCAGATCTGAGCTCCCTGAGGCCTCCATGAGGGTGTGGATGCAAGGTACAAGAGTAGCCTCCTGACCCGTCAGGAGGTCTCAGGGTCTCAGGATAGGGAGCCCAGCTCTACCAGCCAGTATAAAACTGAGGGCGTCTGCTGTGTGCATGGGGACTGCAGTGTGTTCAGGCCGTGTCGGTGAGCTGAGCCTGTCCCACGTGGACATGGGCTGTGGTGTCCACCATGCATGGGTGGGGCTGCGGCCCCCTCACCCTCTGGACTCAGAAGCAGGGTGAGCACCTCTCTAGGCTGTGAATTTGTGGTGGCCAGGCAGCAGGAGCTGCTTCTGGGACTCTGCGCTTATCTGGAAAGTAGTCCCACCCTGGCCAGAGACCTACAGCAAGAGGACAGCAAGGAATTTCCCAGCCCACAAGGCCTCCAAGGTTGGTCTGTCCCAGCACAGCATGGGAGGGAAGGGGGACACGGGTCTCTGGAACCTTCTCCCCAGGGCCCGGAGGGCAGCCACAGAAACAGGGCCTCTGGTTGGGGTAGCACTTTCCCGGACAGCCTCCACCAAGCTCCGTCAGGGAGCATAGGGAGGAGGTTTCTCTCCGGGGAGAAAGGAGGCGGCAGAGCGGAGCGGCGGGGCCTGGGGAGGGAGGTCGCTCCGGCCGCCCTGGGCCTCTGACAGAGATGTGGCTGCAAGGCGGCTGCACGCCTGTAAGTGGATAGAGATGCTCGCGGTCAGCAGGCGCACACACCACACATCTCCTCACAGAGATTACACACATGGAGCATGTATGCACACATGTGTGTTTACATGCACACCAGGGCACTTAAAAAATCCTGGACATGCAATCAGGATTTTTGGTGCAAAAACTTTTGAAGGTGCTACATAATGTTGTGTAGTATGTGTGTGACTGTGCATGTGTGCTTGCGTGCATGCTCAAATGTATATATGAGTGTGAGAAGCAATCATGAAGTCCAGCTTTTTTTTAAGCACAGCCTGCTGGGGCACAGAAGGGAACAGCTGCAGCCAGAGTGGACATAGGACGAGCAGACCAGAGGCCTCAGCGTCCTTCTCCCAAAGTGTCCCAGGCACACGTGTGCTATGTTGGGCCTCACATCCTGGGCCCATGTGTGCCAAGCCCCCATAGGTGATTACTGTGGCCACAGCTCATGTACTCCAATCACTAGGCCTCCCCTCCCCACATCCCCTGAGCCCTGGCCAGCAAGATGGGCAGTGCCACTGGGTTTCCTCAGCAGTGAGAGGCCAGGCCACAGCCCTGGTGGCCACGCACATCCTACCTGAAGTGGCAGAGGGTAGGTGGAGCAGGTGGGGAGGGTGGCAGGTGGTGAGCACAAGCCTGGGAACGCCAGGAGCTGCTGGGCCGGGTTGTAGATGGCGGGGGGTGAGGCAGATGGGCCATAGGCCAGCTGGGACAGCGGCACCTGAAGGGCACACATAGGTGATACTGGACAGTTGGTCATCACACATGGAGGAAGACTCATGACACAGCAAATCCCATCAGTAAGGGTGGCTATGACCCCAAATGAGGGCACACACAGGGATTTCCCTTAGAGCAGTGCTGGCTGCCATGGGACCTGGTTCTCCCATGCCCCAGTTGCAGCCCTGCCCAGCACTCACCATGTCCTTGAAAGCCCCAAGGACAGCAGCTGTGATGATGCCCAGCAGCAAGCCCAGCACATTGAGCGCTGTGGACACCCAAAGTAGCCGGTACAGGTGCAGCACATCCTGGCAGCCGCGCACACCCAAAAACTCGTGGTAGACAGGCACTGGGGAGGAGCTGACAGGATGGGATGTGATGAGCTTGGCGCTGCACAGGCAGTGTAGAAGCGGGGAAAAGGGGATGCCAGGGCCTGAGTATGGCCGGGGCAGGGGGTCGGCTGAGTTGAGTGAGGCTGTGTAGTGGGGGTCTGCTGAGGCTGAGTGTAGCCATGGGGGTTTGTAGCTATGCTTCAAGTCCCCTGGGGCTCTGCTACACCTGGGAAGAGGCTGGCTTCACTCACTGGGCTCTGGGCACACAGAAAACCAACCTATGGTCTCTGTGGTGAACAGGTGGCAGTGGGGCTATGGGGACAGGTCTGGGCCCAGCAAAATGGCCTCTATGCTCTCACCTGGGGGAAGGGCAGGGCTTAGCACCTGTATCATTCCCAGGACCAGCATGAGAAGGGGTCAGAATGGCAGGCTAAAACATCCTCAGGCCCCTGCTCTGAGCAGTGACAGACTGGTCGCTTTCCCAGGCTGGACCAGGCAGGACTGGTCCAGGTTGATCTGGCTGCATGTCCTGAGCCCTCAGCACTCCCTATGACCTGTAGACATCGCACAACTGTGCGGGTGAATGAAGGCATGCTGGAGCTGCCTTCAGAAGGGGTGGCCACGCGCAACCTGTGCATGTGTGTGACCATCTATGCATGTATGCACATATGTGCATTGTAAATGTGCATGCTTGCACCTGTGAGTATGTGTGAGCATGAGTGCCTGTGTGAGCATGTGTATATGAATTGCTGTGTACACACATGCACACTGTGTTTGTATATATGGACGTGTGTGTGATTGTATACAACGTGCATGTGTGTAGGTGTGCCTGTGTGAGCATATCTGTATGAGTTGCAGTGTGCACACATGTACATTGTGTGTGCATGTGTGAACATGTGTGCCCCCCAGCCTGCTCTGAGCCCTGCCCCTCACCTGTCACAGGTGTACAGGTCACAGCAGTAGCAGGTGTTGCTCCTCACCCTCAGCTGGCACTGACCACTCAGTGAGTAGCACGTGACCTGGGGACAGAGACCTGGTTGAGTCCCTACCCTCAACTGGGCCCAAGGCCATTTTCTGCCCGGGTCACCCAGGTGCAGCATGCAAGACAGCAAGACTCCACTCCCGCAGGAGTTTCTGCTGAGTGAGTCCCGGCTCAGCCTATAGTAATGGAGGGGGCAAATCTGAGCAGTGCAGAGGACAGGAGGGCTCAATGCCCCTCCTTGTCCCAGGCCCCTGCCTGTTCTAGCAAGGTCTCCTGGTCCAGGTGGGAGGCCTGGCCAGCAGCATCAGCCAGGAGGCCACACACACACACCCCTCTCTGCAGTGTCCAGGGCAGCTCTGAGGGTCTGGGAGGAGCTGAGGTGGGTGGAGGCTGCTGCTGTCTGTTTAGCCATGGATACCTCTTTGTGGGATGAGGTGGGGCTGCCATGTGGGAGGGCAACCCCGCAGCCCAGGCCCAGGGCCAGGCATCAGGTGTCACTGCCCACACAAGCCAGGAACCGGTAGCAGATCGACAGACTGGGAGGGGCTGTGTAGCACTGGACAGATCCGGTCTCACCTCCGTGTGGTGGACATCATAAAAGTGTCCCGACTCGCCGGAGTAGAACTGGCACCGGCTGGTGGTCAGCGGCCTTGGCTCCTGCGGACAGAGACACGCAGTGCAGGGGCACAGAAAAGCCCTGTATGCATCTGCCCAAGCCTTCACGCAGGCACAGAACAGCAGGCCCAGTCAGTCCATGGGTTCACCATCCTCCCATGTGCTTGTGTCATGTGTATGTGTATGTGGTGTGGTGGGTGGGTCTGAATCCCCAGGCTGAGACAGAAAGTGAAGGTCAGACACATGCTGGAGAGACCGAGCGCCCAGGTAGAGGCCGCGGACCACCCTCCACGTTTCCTTGTAGGAAGACCCAAGCTGGCAACTCACGATGTGTCTGGCAGCAAAGACCCCATCCACCACGGCACAGCAGAAGGCAGCCACTACCCCAAAGCTGATGAACACGATGGCCGCCACCAGCTGAAAGGGAAGGACAGGGTGTTGGGGGTGAGCCTCCTGGGGTATCCCTGCTTCTGAAGAGGACAGCATTGGCCACTGCACACGGTAAGCTCAGTCCCCACGCTGACCAGATCCAGGTTGTGTGCACACAGCTGCCTGCATGTGCCTGCTTCCCACACACTCCTCTAGCTGTCTTCCTGCCATAACAGACGAGCTTTGTGGAGGTGCAGGAGTGGTCCCTGTGGGTGCCTAAATGAAGTTTAGTTAGATTTCAATTCTCACAACCCGTCCCATGAACAACATGCAGTGGGGCCCTCAAGCAACGTGAGGCACAGCCTCTCTGGGGACCCCACACTCTCGCAGGACACAGCCAGCTTCTCTGAACCCCAGAATCTGGACCGAAGGATGCAGTGTCCTCCAGGGTGGAACCCCTGCCTGACACCCCTCACCTGGGAGGCCACACCCCACCCACCATGCCCCCTCGCCTGGGTACCGCCCCTTGCTCACCATTTGTCGTCTGTTCTCCACCAAGGTGAGGCCCACGAGTCCCAGGAAAGACCCGAAGCCCAGCTGAGGGAAAGAAAACTCAGGGAGATCTGTCAAGAGGTCAGGACAAAGGGATCCCCGCCTCAAGAACCTCCTCGGAAGCCTCAGCCTGGGGCAGGGGCAAGCTTGCTGGGGGCTGGGCAGAGGATCGGGGCAGAACCTGCCCCGAGAACACCTTGTCTTGGTGAGCCCGTGTGAGGAGATAGCGCCGGCCCCTCCTGGGACCCCAGTGCACCTCGCCCAGGCCCACCCGGGACAACCTCACCTCCAGGTGTCACTGTGAGCAGGAAGCCCCAAGCCCAGCTCTGCTTCAGCAGGCCCCGCCCAGCCCTACGCTCCCAGGGCCGGGCACTTACAATAATGCCAGGATAGTAGCCTCCCACGGTCACGTTTTCCGTCCTGGTGGTGGCTGCGAGGCCGATTGTCACTATGAGCGTGGACACTGCCAGCAGGGAGCCCACAAAACACTGGGCCGTCCTCTTCCTCTTTGCAAAGCCTTTTACAGGGAGGACCAGGAGGGCCTCAGTGAGCTGGGAGCTTGGGGTATGCTTCCCTCTCTCTGCCAGGCTCTGTCCCTGCTCTGGTCCTTCCCTGGAGAGTCCCACAGACCTGCATGCCTGCTGCATAGAGCCAGTGCCTGGGTGCCACCTGACTGCCCGGGGTGCTCTCCCCACATCCACAGGGAGAGCATGCAGGGACCAGACAGGTCTCAGTTAGGGGGAGGGGGTTGCAGCTTTCTGGGGCCGAAGGCTGTTTTCCGGCCTCAGCCAGTGGTCAGGACAGAGGCAGCAATGTCTCTTGGGGCTAGGTGGGCAAGAGAAAACTGAGGTAGGCGAGTCAGCTCCTTGTTGGGGCTGGGCAAGTCTAAACCAGGAGCCTTAGCTAATCAGCCACCTCATTGCCTTGCAGGTGAAGTGGAACAGCTGGGACTCAAACCAGTTCTTTATGGGATGCTGTCCTGCCAGGTCAGGCTTACCCTGCCATGTCTCAACCAGCGCCTCACACTGTGTGTTAGTCTGGATTATGGGAGTTAGCAAAATAGATGTGCAGAAGACAACAAATAACCCTGAGTGGTGAGGACCCCTTCAGAGCCACACAGGACTATTCTCCCCAAAGCAGATTTTCCTTGGACCGTGAGACTTCTCCCTCAGCCAGGCAGGCTCCCCTCAGCCACGTGAATCTCCTTCAGCCATATGGGCATAGGGATGCCCCCGAGCCACGTGGGTTCCCCTCAAACACATGGATTCCCACTCAGACACAAGAATCCCCTTCAGCCACATGGGTTCTCCTCAGCCGTAGGGATCCCCCTCAATCATGTGGGTTCCCCTAAGCCATGAGGGTCTCCTTGAGCCATGTGGATTCGCTGAGCCACATAGATTCCCCTCAGCTGTGCATCCTTGGCCATGCCAGCTCTGGGTCACTTGTAGGCCCTCCCACGCCTGTGAGAGCAGCAGGATCCTTCCTCAACCTACAGAAGCAAGTACCTGAAACTGCTATGTCCCCCACCACAAACAGACGCTTCTCTGAGTGCACGTCTGGCCTCCCTGGGCTCCTGTCCAGGAGCGCCATGAGGCTGTTTTCTGGTTCTGGAAGCTTCAGGACCTGTTTGTGGTCCTTGGCTTAGCACTTGTCTGTCTGTCAAGCCATCCAGCCATGCCCTGAGCTGCAATCCTGGTGATTAGGCATGCCCACAGAGGCCCCTCATCCTCCGGGGCCCACATCAGTTACTTGGTTGCTTCACAGCTTGGCCTGACACCAGCACTTCCTCAGGGTCCTGGGGCAGGCAGGGACCCCAGGAAGGGCCTGTTCTACACAACAGGTCTCAGATTTTTTCAGGTGCCATGAGGATGACAGGAGGAAGATACAGGGAGCCATCCTGCTGAGATGTGCTTCCAGTTCCAATCTGGAGAGAAAGGACCACAGCCACAAGCACTACAGCCCCCAGACCTCAGCACCTGCTGGCCCAGGGGTCAGTGTGAGCACCACAGGCACTGGGAGGCTGGCAGCAGCACAGCCTCAACACCAGCTGATGAAACTGGTGGTTCCCACGGGCCCTCAGGCCTAGGCTGTAACCTGGATTGGAGGTGGGAGGACTTGCAAGGTGATAGTCGTGTATGTCTGCTTGACTGGGCCCAGGTCCAGCCTCACCAGGACGCAGGGAACACCCCTGGTGTCCAGGGGTCAAATGGATTTCACCTCCTGATCTATGAAGTGGTGCTAGGGGCACATACAGGGCCCATTCTCCTGCAGACAGGGCCGCCTCTCATGGTGCAGCTTCACCAGGCCAGGCTGGGCGGGGAGCCCTGGAAGGATAGAGGCTGTGCCCACAGCTCTAGCTGTACCCTCCTGCCCTTCCCACCTCCCAGGCCCCTGTCCCCTTCAGCTTGAGGGCCTGAGCCTGAGGAATCTGAGGGCATACAGGTCCTGACCAGAGGGCAGAGCCCAGGCATCCACCATTCCAGCAGACCCACAGAGCCTGCAGGGGGCGTTCCAGACATGGGGCTGACACAGCAGGTCTTCCTGGCCTCCCAGAAAGAGGAAAGAGCTGCCTAGGGTCCCTTGTGTCTCCCTGGTACAACAGTAAGAACACCAGCTGGCCGCCTCAGCAGAGCCCAATGGTGGCCAGCTCCCACAGGCAGAGCAGCTACATCCTGGATTATTAATCAGCACTAATTGATCTGGTTTGAAAAGATGTTTACTGAAAATGCTTCAGCCAGCATCCCAGTGACCATGGTCCCCAGGAACCGAACAGCCCCCTGAGAACTGACAGAGGAGACATCTTCTCCTCTCAGTGCCCAGTCCCGTAACCCATCAGCACCCTCACAGTCGGCTCATGGCCCTGCCTTGTGACCCGTCAGCACCCACACAGTCAGCTCACAGCCCTGTCCCATGTCCCCTGTTGGAGTTGTCAGGGCCGATGTCTGTGTTGGGAAGTAGCAGGGGGCAGTTCTGTGTTTAATGTCGGAAGTCAGGACCCACCACCCCTTACCCCTCCTAAGTGAGGAGAAGCCGCCCAACCCTGAAAACTAACCTTGGGAGGGCACAGGAGAGGAGCTCAGTGTGGCCTCTCCCTCTTAACGCGGGTCCCAAAAGTGCCACAAGCAGACAAGCGGGAGAGGGGACCTGGCCCAGAGCCCATTGCCAGCACTGCCCCTCAGCCCCCACGCTGCCCACTAGGGAGGGCCCCAGCTCACCTGTGGTGTCCAGCAGGGCCAAGGGCCCTGGAACAGGCGGCACCAGTGGCTGCATCACGGTGGCACCAGGACCAGTGCCTGGGTGGCTGCAGCTGCTCTGGTAGCCAGCACTGCCCAGTTGACACCAGGAGTCTTGAGCTCCACCCCTCTGTTCCTTCTCTCCTCCCCTGCCCCCTCCGGCTCCCTCCCTGCAGGGAGGCCACTCCAGGGTGCCCCATGGGGCCCTAGTCTGCACCTGCTGCTGGGCCGGGGCGGAGGACAACAAGCCTCGGCGATGCTGGCCCTGGGCCTGGACCCCAACCCGCTGCCCTCCAGACTGTGTCGGCTTTCTGTTTTTCTTCAGCCAGTGAGTGGCAGGGCCCATCCACATGCCTGGTGCCACCCACTCTACTCTCCTGTCAGCTTCAAAGCTGTTCCGGGCAGACAGAATCGGGACTGGGCCAGGGCAGTGACCACCTGAGGGCCTTGAGTGCTGGCAAGGAAGGAAAGTCTCCTTCAGGCATTTTCACAGTCTGGTGTGCAGCTGTTACAGGGCAAGCTGTCTGCCCGGCAGGGATACCACAGGACCTGTGCTGCCGATACCACAGGACCTGTGCTGCCGACACCACCAGGACACTGAATTCATGACATGGGCTCTGCAGCTCTAGGAGGGAAGTGAGGGCCAAAGCATTAGCAAGTGCACCTGTGTGAGCCAGGCTACAGCCTGCTTGTTATGGATTCTGGGTGTCTGGGGCAGTCAGTGGTCTCCGGGCTGTGTGCACCTGGCCCCTGCAGCTCAGGAGGCCCGGCGGCTATTGGCTGGACACAAGTGCCTCTGTAACCCAATAGTTTCTGAAATGCGGCACCAGGATGAATAATGCAAACCCGCCATCAAGGAAGCCAAGCATGAGGTGGATAGGAATTGTTGAAAGTCAGCTCCGGCAGAGCTTGGCTGCGGTGGGTCAGGGGGCTGGAGGGTCCATGGCCAAGACAGCACAGATAACAAGCCCCATAGGGAGGCTCTGTCATGCCACGTGTTGCATGCTAGGACCCCAGGAGCCACAGTCATGCACAGGGCAGGCCATGAGGGTCCCTGGGGAGGCCCTGTATCCCCCATGCACTACACTTGTTCCCAGACCTCCCAGGGGCCTCCATACTGGCACCCAGGGGTGACCTGGACAGTTATCGCCCTGGGGGAGGTCGAGGTTTAGCTTCTGACGCTGGAAATGAAGACAGTATCTCCTGGCTGGGCAGGGGCTGGGATCACCAGTTGCCCGCTGCCCTGTCTGATTGCTTGGCAGCTCTGGCTCTGGCTAAGCCCATTTGTGTTTAGCAAATGTGTGAAGACCCAGACAGGAGCCACCCAGGGGAGGTGAACGGAGGCTGGGGTCAGCCTGAGGGTGGCCCACCCGGCTGGGGACAGCCCTGGGCCCAGTTGCTCTGGGCCATTCTCCCTGGGGAAGCCCTGAGTGAGCTTGGCCTGCTGGCCTGGAGAGATGCCCTCCTGTGCCTCCTGCTCCCTTACAGCCCGGAGAACGCTGACCACGGGAGGCATACATTGCTGCCCAGGTGGAACTGCACCTCAGCCACTGCACGGCTGGGTCAGCTCGGCTTCTGTGGAGCGGCCTTGGGCAGGCCAGGCAGCACACCGAGACAGGGGCTAGTGGCATCACCCCTCAGTACATGACCAGTACATGACATGACCAGGCAGGGGCGAGGCCTGCTCAGCGTGTGAGCCTGGAAACCGGGCAGGGGCGAGGCCTGCTCAGCATGTGAGCCTGGAAACCGGGCAGGGGCGAGGCCTGCTCAGCGTGTGAGCCTGGAAACCGGGCAGGGATGATTCCTGCCTAGTGTGCAATTGCAGAATCTGGTTAGGAGGGTCTCAAGCAGTGGGCTGCTCAAATGAATGTCCCAGGCAATTTGAGGACACACCTCCACAATGCAGAGGCCTCTCTCAGGCCCTGCCTGTGGATTCTGCAATGACACAGCAGCAGATGGAGTGGAAGACAGGGGGTGGCTGTGCTGAGGTTTTATTAGGACAGACCTTCAGAGGGCAGCTGGAGACCCGTATCGTTTCTAATACACTAGCTCCTCCAGGATTTGGTCAAGGCAACTCCTACTCCCACAAGGTGTTTGGGTATGGCCAGCTGACCATCCCTGCTGGTGGCCCAACACAAACAGCACGCAGTCAGGGCCCAGTTTTGACCACAACCCATAGTTGCTGCCATGGTCATTTTGTTTCACAGAGGAGGAACGTGCAGCATGGGGATAGCCTGGGGTGTGGATGCAGTGCATGCTGCTTTCCTTCTGAGAGCTCAGACATGCACCATGCATGGCAATGACCGAGGACACAGCTCGTCCACGCATGGCACTGACCACAAGGGGCACCTACTGTGAACACAGACATCCTTGGGACTAGCATGTGGTAATCCAGGTGAGGGTACTGTCTGTGCCGCCGCCATCTCATATGGGCATCAATTCATGTTCCATTTGCTTCACTTCCAACGTGGCACCTGTGAGCACACAGGAGTCGACACACGTGGCCTGAGGACCTGTGTTCACCACATATGGCATGATGTCTCTGAACCCACGGCAAGGAGCCCTGGGACTCAATGTCTGCAGGAAGCACCCTTCCCCAGGAACCCTGGCTCTACTGGTCACCCCTGGCCATTTCCAGACCCTCCTGGATCACAGGAACTGTCCTCCCACTCCCACCCTCAGGCTGAGGGCAGAGTCCTCTGTCCTTCCTCTCTGGTTGGCATAGGACGTGTGGGTGGCACCCACTCCCTCCCGTGTCTTCCAACTCCTCCCCAGAAGGGCCGAGGCCCCTGTTCTGGAAGGAGTCCTTGGGCCCTGAAGCCCCAACCTTTTCCTAGACTGAACCAGCTCCACCCGAGGCCCTGCTTGGCCACAGGATAGGCGTTGCTGTGGAAACTGCTCCAGGCCAGTATCTGTCCAGGGCTGATGAGTGCAGCTTTCCACTCCTGGTCCTGTGCTCAGTGGGGCTGGGCAGCGTCCAGGCCAGCAGAGGAGTCAGTGGGAGAGGGGGCCTCTCCAAGCCAGCCTTTTGCATCATCGCAGGTGTCCACACCAATGGTTGGGCTGCCATCCACACCAGGGGCCCCTCTCTATGCAGGTGGACACCATGTGGCAGCTGGCACCTCTATGGGCTTTTGGAGTGGAGGGGGCAAAAGTCACCACAGCCCTCAGGTCAGGTCCTGCCCTGACTTCCCCCTCCTCCTGGTGTCCTGGCAGGCCCGGGACAGGGCTCTGCCCCCTCCCCTGCTCCCTGGGCTGGAGGCCCCCAGAGCCTCCACCCACTCCACCTGGCCAGGAGGGCCACTAGGAGAGCAGGCACATCCCCGACTTTGAGGCAGGTGCTGGGTCCTCCGCTGCAAGGCCCTTCATGTCGTCGGGCATCTCGCCATCCTCACGCCACACGTTCAGGTCCCCAAAGATGCCCGTCTCGATCATCTCCTCCTGCCAGGGCACAGGGCAGGTGCCACTGGCAAATTCTCGGAAGAAGTCGGTGTCTGCCTGGTCCAAGGCTACACCCCGGACTGTGGAGAAGGCCCCCACATCCTGGATGTTCTTGGCGTAGACAGTCCGGGAGTCCGGGATAAAGGGCGGAGTCAGCATCCCTGTGGGTGAGCAGAGGCCTGAGCCAGGGCTGGGGGGCAGCTCGCAGGGGTGAGGGCGCGTGCAAGTCTGCCTCAAACACACATGCAAACACACTGACACATGTGCATTTACTGGTAAGTGAACTGATGCAGTTGCACACACGTTAACACATGTACTCAGACACACACACGTGAAGGTCTGTGCACTGACATGCACACATACACTCACACACTCAACAAGGCGGAGACACCGGCAGTGGGCAAGCCTGGCCACTGGTCTGGGGGTGAACCACAGCCGGTCTTGTGGCCCGTCCCAGGCCTGGGCCCTCAGGGGCATGATGGGCATACCGGCCTCGAGCTGCCGCCAGTTGATGTCCTTGAAGAGCGGCTGGGCCCGCAGCAGGTCGCAGCTGCCCTCTCGGAACCCCAGGCGCCTCTCAGGGTCCTTCTCCAGCAGCGCCTCGCAGAAGGCCTTGCTGTCCGGGCTAAACTTGTCGGGGTACGAGACGGCCTCGGACAGCACGCGCTGCCTCAGCTCCTTGTTCTCCACCTGCAGGCCGCGCCCAGGTCAGCCTCCAGCCCCGCAGCTCCAATCCAGGGCTCCCCGAGGGCCGCACCGCGGGAAGAGGGTGGGACTGGACACCTGAGACCTGGCCAGCAGCCTGGCCCACCCCGGCCCCGCCCCCTCGATCCCGCCCCTCTCGGCCCCGCCCACACACATCCCTGTCCACCTCCACAGGCCCGCCCTCCTCCGCCTCCAAACCCGGCTCCCACCTTCTCTCCCCGGGCCCGGAAGGGTCCCCTGGCCGCGATCATCTCGTATAAGGTCACCCCCAGGGCGAAGTAGTCCACGGAGAAGTCATACTCTTCACCGCGCAGCAGCTCGGGGGCCATGAACCCTGGGGAGGGCCAGAACCAGGACCCTGAGCTGCAGGCTTAGGGGCAGGGCGGCCTAGGGCTGGGACAGGGACAGGGATGGACACAGCCCAAGAGCTGGCTGACATCCAGGGCCTGTGTCTGCTGAGTCCCACTGCAGTGCGTGAGTGGACAAGAGGATGGGTGGACTCTGTCTTGGTATGTTCTCCTCATCTCATGTTCACTGACACATCACTCGCTGCTGGGGCTGTGGTGGACTGGTCATGGACCCACTGCAGGAGCTGTCCAGGCAGTTGTCTGTGCCAGCAAAGGGGCCGAGGGAGATCCGGGAGATAGTTCCGTGGCTTTGCCAGGATCCAGGCTCTAACTGCCCTGACTTCAACGTTTACGAGATCTGAGCCCTGAGCGTGCTAGCCAGGCCGGAGCCCAGTGTCCACCTTGGCTCAGGAAAAACGCCGTGCTGGCAGCCTGCGCAAGGGCAGCAGCGCCTCTGGCGGCCTGCTGGGTGTCCACTCAGCTGCAGGCTCTGGAGTTCAGCGCCTCAAATTCAGGTTTGGGGGTGGCTCAACATTCCCTTGCCCTGCCCCAGGCTGCAGAGGACACAGGCTGACTGGGATTCCAGGGGTCCCAGGACACACACTGGACCCAGCCACTGCACAGCCCCACCTTGGGGGCAGCCCCTTCCCCACAAAACTCCCAGGAGGAAGACAGACTCCCAGAACTTTGCCTGCACAGTAAGAGACACGGGGCAGGGGCACAGGAGAGTGGCAGACAGCTGCAAACACACACCCCATGTGGCCAGTGCCCTCCCGGGGCTCAGGGGAAGCCCCCAAGGTGGCCTGGAACACAGACCCTGTCCACTCTGCGTGTGTTGTTTCCTGCCTGCCTGGGACTGAGGCAGAACTCATGTCCACATACACACTGACATGGTCAAACACACACACATAAACACGGAGACACGTATCTGCTGTATCCACACAGCATGTAGCTGCACGGCCAGCTCAAGGTCAGGAAGTGACTCATGTGGAGGCACAACCAGCAATATGCATGTGTGTGCACAAACACAGCAAGGTGGTCACGCACGTGCAGCTTGGCAACTGTACATATGAGTGCACACAAACAGGCAGATGAGTGCATTACCGTGCACAGAACACACATGTAGACTCGATGCTAGCAGGCATGGGTGTGCACATGGTGCAGGATGTGTGGGGTGAAAGCCTGTGTGAGCACATGTGTGCTGTGTCAGGTCCTCTGTGCTATGGCCTCACAGCACGCTCGGGCTCTAGACGCACCAGGTTCTGGACACCCTCGTCGTGCCGGCACCCTGAGAGCCAGGGAGTCTCGGGGTCACGCGTGTGCTTCACGTGATGTAGCAGCACTGACAGCACCAAAGCTGTTGGTCATCAGGCGTGTAAGATGTGTGTGGGCCATCTGCAGGGCGCGCAGAGCCTTTAGGGGTGACCTGGCCCGACTCTGGCACCTGTCCTGTGACTGAGAGGCCACCACCAGGCCAGACAAAGGTTGCTCACCCTGGTCCCAGCCCACCTGTGCTTACAGTCTCACCTGGGGTTCCTGCATATCCCTTGGTTTTGGTCTGTCCCTCCTCCAGCTCCACAGCCAGCCCAAGGTCAGAAATGCGGATGTTGCCTGGAAGCAAACACGGCTGAGGTCACACAGAACCAGGGCCCCTGGCAAGTTCAGAGCATAGGGGCCAACAGCAACCTCTGGAGACACACACACACCTGTACACACACATAAACCCACAGAACACCCACACACAGACACATCACACCTCTGCCTTATGCATACATCCCTCCACATGCAGCTGCTGGACCAGCCTCTGGGCCGCAGTGCCTGATGGCACCATAGAGTGGTACCCACATTGTGAGGCACTGCAAGGCAGTGTTAGGTTGTGAGAGGCTGTGTGGGGCTATGCAGGTCAGTGCGGGGCTATGTGCAGCTCTGAGGGGCTGTGTAGGACAGGCAGGACAGGGCAGGCAGTGCGGGGCTCTGTGGGTCAGTGCGGGACAGTGTGGGTCAGTGTGGGACAGTGTGGGGCAGTGCAGGGCTGTGTGGGGCAGTGCAGGGCTGTGTGGGTCAGTGCGGGGCATTGTGGGGCTGTGCAGGGCAGTGCAGGGCTGTGTGGGCTGTGTGGGTCAGTGCAGGGCTGTGTGCAGCTCTGAGGGGCTGAGTAGGGCAGGCAGTGCAGCGCTGTGTGGGGGCAGTGTGGGGCTGTGTGGGGCTCTGAGGGGCTGTGTAGGGCAGGCAGTGCAGGGCTGTGTGGGGCAGTGTAGGGCTGTGTAGGGCAGTGTGGGGGCTGTGTGAGGCAGTGCGGGGCAGTGCAGGGCTGTGTGGGTCAGTGCGGGGCAGTGCAGGGCTGTGTGGGTCAGTGCGGGGCATTGTGGGGCTGTGTGGGACTCTGAGGGGCTGTGTAGGGCAGGCAGTGCAGGGCTGTGTGGGGCATTGTGGGGCTGTGTGGGGCTGTGTGGGGCTGTGTAGGGCAGGCAGTGCAGGGCTGTGTGGGGCTGTGTGGGGCTGTGTAGGGCAGGCAGTGCAGGGCTGTGTGGGGCTGTGCAGTGCAGAGTGGGGCTGTGCAGCGCAGTGCAGGGCAGTGTGGGGCAGTGTGGGGCTGTGTGGGGCTGTGCAGCGCAGTGTGGGGGCAGTGTGGGTAGCCGAGCTCATATTCACCGTCATTGTCCAACAGCACGTTCTCAGGCTTGAGGTCACGGTAGACAATACGATGCTGGTGCAGGTGCTCCAGGCCGCTGATGATCTGTGCCGTGTAGAAGATGGCACGCGCCTCAGGGAAGCCGGGGTTCTCCTCATCCACGTTGTAGATGTGGTACCTGCGGGAGGGCAGGACTGAGCATCTGTGTGGGACAGCTGGCCACTCTCCTGTGGCCATGCAGGGGACCGGGACGTCCTCATGGAGCATTGCCCCCAGCACTCTCACCGCACATCACCACCATTCATGATGGTCATCACCAGGCAGAGGTCCGTCTTTGTTTCAAACGCGTAGGCCAGGGACACAATGAACCTGCTGTGCACTTTGGCGAGGATCTTCTTCTCCACCATGGCTCCCTGGGGGCCGGGATGGGGCACAGGCCTGCACTGGGCATCTGGGCAGACACCAGGTGCAGACCGCATCGGGCCTGCCCATGCCAGGTCCACCCAGTCACTGGGAGCACACAGCCGGTGTCTTCAGCGTGCAGCCCAGGGTTCAGAGGCAAGTCCACTCCTCCCTCCTGCCCAGTGGGGTCAGCACGCTGCAAGGCGTGCATGAGCTCTCAGCCACCAGAAGCACAGTCACCCTACCTGACCCCATAGCTGACCACCAACCTGGAGAAGCAAGGCCACACCCAGCCATGCCCTAGAGACTACACAGCTTTGCCTGAGCCTGCCAGAGTGGGTATGGACACCAAGGCCGGGGGAATCAGAGGGGTGGAGGCTCCAGCAGCAGTCCCTTGAGCAGCAGCCCCCTGCCCAGCCACTGTATCCCTGTGCCCTCCCAGGAGCCAGAGCAGGGGTCCAGGGGACATCCCCAACTCTATGCTTGAAGGCCAGCCAGCCCTCTTTGCATGTCCCCTGCCACCCACCACGGCCCACACACCTGGTAGCCCTTCCTCTTCTTGAGCCGCTTCTTGTTGAGCTTCTTGCAGGCGTACATCTTGCCAGTGGCCTTCATCTGGCAGGCTGACACCTCCCCGAAGCCGCCTTTGCCCAGGACCCGGAAGTCCAGGAACCAGTCCTCCCCGATGGGCTGGGCCTCCAGCCACTTCCACTGCAGGAACCGCAGGAAGTGCAGGCTGGCCAGGTACTCCTGAAAGGGTCCCTGGCCCAGGTGGACCAACGTGGCCTGCAGCAGTGGCTGGAAGACCCCATCCTGGCTGGCCAGGGGCCCCTCCCTCACCCGCGCCACTGCCCCCTCCTCCAGGAAGCTGCAGAAGAGTGTGGCCTGGGGCTCGAGGTACTGGGCCAGGATGGCCTGGGCCTTGTGTGGCCGCACGTCATCATCGGCTGTGTCGTAGTCCTCAATATCTTGCCACAGCCCCAGCGCTGGCAGGTGCCTGCTCTCTGTGCCCAGGAACTGCTGGAAGAGTCGCTTGCCAATGGGCTGCTGCTGGCACAGGTTGTCAAAGTCCAGGCTGAGGCTGTCTCGCAGGGCCTGGCACTTGGACAGTGGGGGCAGCCGCAGCTTGGCCAGGTACTTCTTGTCGCGTGAAGATGGAGCGACGCTGCCGTCAAAGCTGCCCCGGGCAGCGATGAAGGCGGAGTTGGCCACCACCGTCTCCAGGGCTCCAAAATCCATTGTGCCGCCGGCCTGACCCGTCTGCCCTTGGCCTGTGGCCTGCTCCTGCCCTCCGGGGCTCAGGGAGACGTCCTCTGAGGTGAGGCTGCTGGCCAGGAATCCCCAGGATCTACAGCTGACGCAGCACCAAGACTCAATCCCGGGCAGGATCAGCGAGGACACGCAGGGGTCACTGGCAGGTGTAGGAGAAAGAATCCCCTAAGCCGCTTGGACGAGGATTAAGCAGGACCTCTGGCTCCAGGCCTGACTTGACTCTCCTCGGGGAGGCAGGCCCAGCCCAGGTGAGGCCCCAGCACCGCTGAGCAGCCAGTGTCCAGTGGTCTTTCTCCTCACCTACGGTTTGCCACGAGTAGCCTCCCTAGGGGAACACAGCCCCGGCTGAATCCACCCAGGTTGAGCCTCCCCAGGGAAATGCAGGCAGGTGGGCACACCTGAAACCCCTGAAAACACCTTGGTGCACCTGGGGGTAGTAGAGCCAGTATCACGCTGAGCTCCAGTGGGACTGCTCCGTGACCATGTGGGAAGGACAAGGATGAGCATGGGGCTGCAGGGGAGGCAGCCTGACTTCTGATCAATCACTGGGGCCAGAGGGCCGGGGATTCTTCATGCAGGCCAAGGGGACAGCACAGAGGCTGGCGGGCCAGAGAACAGCACAGCAGCTGGCAGGCCAGGGGACAGCACAGCAGCCGGTGGGCCAGGAGACAGCACAGCGGCCGGCAGGCCAGGGGGCAGCAGTGGCCTGTGGGGGTACTGGGAAGTGTATGGGGCCAGCACGGCTCCTGGCAAGCTCAGTGGCCGCAGACTGGAGAGCAAATATTTAAGGTGGACAACGCCTTGGGCCTTGCCTGTTCCCACCTCCCAGCACCACTACCAGCAGGTGACCTTGGCCAATAGCTGGCCTCCCCCTACCAGCCACTTCTTTCCCAGCAGGGTCATAGTGCTGGGTCTCAGCCACCATGACCCTGCCTGTAGGCCTGAGGCTGTGAGGTAATGACCCAAGGCCCAGGCCCCTGCCACCCATGTGAGAGAGCTGGACGCACTTCTGGCTTCAGTCTGGCCCAGCTCTGGCTGCTGTGGACATTTGGGACATGAACAAGCGGAGGGAAGATTTTTCTCACTCCCACCCTGTGTCACTCGGCCTTTTATATAAATAAAAAATCTTTTGAAAATGTTCAAATGCATTGGCAAATGTCCCCTCATCTTTCATTTTCTGGGTGACTGTGGAGAGCAGGTGATGACTCCACGCAGCATCTTGGGAGGTACCCACACGGCAGCTGACCGTGTGGCCAGCTCAGCTGTCCAAGGCTTCTCCCACTTGCCCTTCATTTGCCCCTTGCCTTTGGCATAAGTTCAGCTGGGCTGCACCTGGACATGGACTGTGTGGACTGCCGGTCACTGCTGGGCAGCATGGGGGTTAGTGGAGACAGAGTCCCAGCTCCCTGGCTGTGGGGGGTCAGGGGCAGCCGAGTGACTGCAGGCAGCCATGGTGGTCCAGGATTCCCCCCACCCTGAGTCTATGGGCATCTGAACACCTGTTCTCACAGCCTGCTGTGGGAAGCCGCTCTTGGCCACAGGCCGAGACCCCAGGCCCACACAGCTCGCTCTAAGCCCCCAGGATGCTGCCCTGGCACTACGCAATCCCACAAGCAGGAAGACTGCAGTTTGGCCCACAAGGTTGCTGGAGCAGGGCCAGGGGCAGCTGCCTGGAGGGCAAGGCCCAAGCAGAGGCCCAGCAGCCCCACTGCCTCAGGTTTTGGCGTCAGATTTGTCCAGAGAGGGGCTTGAGCACACCCTCCACTCACATGCTCCCTGTACTCGACCAGAAGAGTGGACAGTCCCCGCTTGGTGGCAGCCGCAGAGACAACTGAGCCCTGGGCCAGGACCCACCCCAGCCCCTCGCCATCTCCACAATGGGCAATCATGTTCGGATCTCAGGCATTGGGGAGCAACACCCACTCTGCCCTGTACCCACATCCTCATCTGACCTGCACTGCGTTTACCACTTCCCCACCCCTCCAACAGCAGGGCACCAAGCGGAGAAGCACTCTGGGCAGAGATGCCACAGGCAGGGCCACCAGAGTAGTTGCAGGGACCCCTGACACGCCCTGTGCAGGTGTGGCCAAGGTCACCCTTGGGTGCTCGGTGACCTGCATTCCTCTCACTGAGGCAGGTGGGAGGACACAGAGCCCTGGCCAGTGTTGGCACAGCAGATAAAGCTGAGGACGTACAAGGGCAGTGGGCTGAACCCTGTGGCCAGCCGGCGCCCGGGCAGGTGGAAGTGCGATAGTGCCGCACAGGCCCCTGTGTTTGGGGAGCCGATGGACACGGCTGATAGCACCGCCTGGGGCCAGCGCCCGCAATGCCTTTGAGGCTATAAGACCTGGGGCCTCTGTAGACGCAGGTGCGGGGTGCGGTGTGGCTCCCCGACAGCAACATGGCTGCCCTGCAGGAGAAGAAGACATGTGCCCAGCGCATGGAGGAGTTCCGCCACTACTGCTGGAACCCGGACACCGGTCAGATGCTGGGCCGCACACCGATCCGCTGGGGTAGGACCAGGCCACCTGCTAGACACCCCTGCCCACCTCAACCTCTCAGGGCCAGGACAGCAGCTCCCAGCTCAGATCACCCAGGGACGAGCCCATGTTTCGACCCTACTGGGGAAGCAGGCAGCTCTGGGTCCCCCATGGTCCTTGTGGCCCTGACCAGCCTCGAGGGACATTAATGCTTGCTGGTGCACCCACCTAAGATGGCCATAGGCCCAGGGGCCAGAGGGTACCCACTGTCATCTACCCAGGGTGCCAGGGCAGCCTCAGCCCCTTGTCTGGCAAAGGCCATGCCACCTGCATGGGTTCCTGGAGATTCCATGGCCACCAGGTCAGAAGAGCCTATGGTGGGGGCCTGACATCAGGCTGGGGGACAGGGGAACAGGTGTTGCTGGACCCCACGAGCACCTGTACTCCCCAATTTGCTGCCCGCAGTGACCTACCCAGCAGAGTCCACTCCCAGAGGACAGGCAGCATCGGGCACTCTTTTCTAGACTTTTCCAGAAATGCCCATCAGAGGCTGGCCCATTAGCCATGACCTGCATGGCTCTGACTAGGGGAGCAGGAAGCATCTACACGGGACTGTTCCCTGGAAGGGACAGGCTCTGTGGGCAGCTGTGAGGCTACGTGCCGCATGTGCTCAGCGGCAGTCACAACTTCTGACACCCCTATCCCCGCGCCCCCAGTCTGGATCAGCCTGTACTACGTGGCCTTCTATGTGGTAATGACCGGGCTGTTCGCCTTGTGCATCTACGTGCTCATGCAGACCATCGACCCTTACACGCCCGACTATCAGGACCAGCTGAAGTCACCAGGTGGGCACAGCCCCATTGGGGAGGTGGCGCCCTCTGGTGGCTCGGGACGGCAGCACGGTCGGGTTAGGGTTTGGCCTCTGGCTGGGTGTCTGGCCTCTTGTGGCTGGCTGAGTGGCCTCTGGCTGGGGGGCACCCAGCATCCTCAGGCTTGGCCCACTTGCTCCCAGGCAGCCAGGGTATGACAGTAGCCGTGTCCCCTGTGCCCCAGGTGTGACCCTACGGCCAGACACATATGGGGAGAAAGGCCTGGATATCCACTACAACATCTCTGACAACAGTACCTGGGCTGGCCTTGTACACATGCTGCACAGCTTCCTGGCAGGTGAGTAACCTACCTGGCCCAGCAGGTGCTTCATGCTGACTGCAGTGGCCAGGGCCGCCCCATGCCGTGCTGCCTCTGCCTGCAGGTTACTCACCTGCTGCCCAGAGGGACAACATCAACTGCACCTCCAAGACCTACTTCTTCCAGGAGACCTTCGGGGCCCCCAACCATACCAAGTTCTCCTGCAAGTTCACGACAGACATGCTGGGGGGCTGTTCTGGCGTCAGGGACCCCGGCTTTGGCTTCCAGGAGGGGAAGCCCTGCTTCATCATCAAGATGAACAGGGTGAGCACGGCAGAGGGCGGCGGGCAGGAGCCCTGAGCCCTCTGGCCTCGGCTTGGCCTGGCCCAGGGACTGACCCTGCCTAGGGCGCGGTGTGTCCTCGGCCCGTAGTCAGCAAGACAAGGGGCCTCCAGTGGTGGAGAGAATGCAGAGAGGGAGCTTTCGACCTGGGCCCCCCGACCATGTGCTAGATGTAGGTGACCCCAAGGCAGCAGTGGCTGACAGGAGGCCTGCCAGGAAGCAGTGTCCCAACCTCAGATGTGAAGTCAGCCCTCATGTTTAACCTCAGTGAGGCTGATGGGAGATGGGGGTGGCCCCAGGGGCTGGATGGCCTCAGTGGGCCAGGGTGTCTGAGACAGGCTACCTGGGCTTGAATTTGAAGAGGGGGAGCAGGGGGTTGGGAAGAGGCCCTGCACCCAGACGCCGTTCTCTTCCAGATCGTCAAGTTCCTGCCCAGCAACAGTACGCCTCCCCGCGTGGACTGCAGCTTCCTGGTGAGTGTGGAAGCAAACACAGCTTTGCAGAGGTGAAGCAGCCCGCGGACTCAGAGTCCTCAACTGGGGCCCAGCAGGGCCTCATGGCAAACAACCAGACTCCAGCCCACTGTCCTCTCGGCTGGCCTGGTGGCCATAGGGAAAGGCCCTGTCCTGCACTCCCTACGGCTGCAGATTCACAAACGCCTCTGCTTGGTCAGCAGCAATGGTGCTTGCCATCCTCAAGTTCTCCTGGCACCCGCCTCAGTGAAGTGTGACACCAAAGCCAAAACACACCACCCTATCGTGGCCTCTGCAAACTCTGCAAACTGCGACTGTGCAGCAGCAGGCCTCCGGGCTTCCTTGTGGCTGTGTTAGTCCAACCACATGTGTAGGCTGCAGTGAGGTTGGCCCCTGGAGCTTCTCATGGGCACGTCTCTGCTGCCTAGCACCCAACAGGACAGAGTCCATGCTGCCCGGTCCAACACACAGACTGGCAGCCGCTCAGCTTGGAGCTCAAAATCTACACACACCCCTTACAGGGTCTCAGCTCTGACCAGTCAGG